ACAACCGCTAGGTGATAGAGAAGGGGAGGGGGAGGCCGGGGGAGACGCTGAGCTTTCGTGCCTCCGTTGGTAAAAAAAAATGAGCCAATCACCATCGAGTGTTCACTTTCAGCGCTGAGGAGTGTTGAGAAAAGAAACCTCGTAAGGGAGGCTAGCCTCTCTTCTGATATCAAGCAATCATCACAGAGACGTAAATTACGTGATATTAGTTTGAACGTCTGCCGCTGCACTGATAATGTACCAAGTACTTATGATGAGTAGCGATATTGAATATCTGATTGCCAACAGTATATATACAAATTTAGGGAAAACAGCTTAAGCTGGATATAGGCTACAGCAGTCGGCTTAATTAAATGGCGCAACAGGCAGCTCTCTTTTAACACAGACTTTTAAGAAGGGATGGATGTTTGCTTCAAGTGATAGGCCAGATAAGTGAAATTATATTATCTTGCTGTATGTATGTCGTTTTCTTTACGTTTTCTGACTAAAAGCAACCAAAAAGCCATTTTAAAGTGGTTAAGCAAATAATATAATAATAATAATCGGCAGGGATCCCAGGCCAATACAATTAGTGTGCCTCCTCTATTTTAAAACCCACAAACCGCCACTGGTAAAAACAACAACAAAGCTTGTCAGGTGTCTACACTGTCAACTGAGGAGATTACAACGATTAAACAAGTGTTTACTTTGAAACTTCAATTGTGGAGGTATCTGCTTTTGCTATAAAACAAACTTTTAATATATATATATATATATATATATATATTTAAAAAACATACTTTCAATGAACTTTAATTTTGTAAATTACTACTTAATAATTTATAGTTATTATTACTTAATCAAAACAACCCAACTGCAGTTTGATTGATATTACTTGGAATGCACAAAAAAAAAAACATGATTTCTGAAAATAAATAAAAATGCAGAATCTGTTTTTGCAAATAAACTCTTCATATATATATATTTATACACACACACACACACACACACAATTAACAATATAAATTTCTATGACTTGAGTAATTAATCGAATTAAATAATAAAAATAATAACAATGATAATAATAAATTAAGCAGAAATAATAAAAAATAAAATAATAAGTAAAACCGACAGTCAGAAATGGAGGATTATTATCCAGACAAACTAAAATACAACATATTCCTGAATCATGGGAATCCTCTCATGGACTATAGTTAAGTGAACAACTATCATCTGCCAGCAAAATTAAGCCTGATTACAAATACTTTGTGTGTGTCCGTGTGTACGCGATTGCATCACACATTTAAAGACAAAAACACACAGAGAAAAATAGAGCTGCTTAGATATTATTATAAAACAAACCATACGCACATCATGCAATACTGATGTCAATCAAAATAGCAATAGTTTCCCAATTACAGAATCTCTTAACTGACTACAGTGAGCACTGAAAAGTTTCAAACCACACAAAGCTGCACAATCCCAGAGATCCCAGTACAAACACCACGTCTGACGAGTCAAATCATTACAATTCTACACCGAGCTAGAGGTGTGCCATCATAAACACACAAATCCTGACTTTGACCTTTCAGATTCGTCTGAAAGCTGTTCACTGCTCAGATTTACACCGCCGCTGACTTCATCTCAACTCCTGATGTCTGAATCCACACGCTTACCTGGATCTGAACACACAATCAAACAGGACAGAGAGGAGGCAGAGATTGAGCGGACTGCAGAGATTCTCATCAATGAACACAGAGAGACAGATTGAGACGCTCCAACTGGCCCACTGTAATCCCAGCTGTGAAACCACACATGGATTACAGGTCCACCAAAGCCATCTGTGTGTGTGTGTGTGTGTGTGTGTGTAGAAAAACAGCACAAAACATCTTCCTCTGATCAGTTTTAGTGCAGACCAAATGCAGAAAAACATTTGTAAAAGCCAAAACATAAATGCAGTGCCAATTGGATTAGAAATAAAATGTAAAATAAAATCTTTTGGCAATCAAAAAACCATCATAATTGACTCCATTTATCTTCTGAATTCATGTTTTTAGTTTTATTGTGAACGATTTATTAGTACACATTATTCTAAATTATGATATTTCCTTAAAATGTACTTTTTAGTATCAATACAATATTATAGTTTTCATTTATTTTTTATTTTTATTTGAAAGTTTTAGTAATTTTGTTGGGTTTTTGTCTTTTTCTTTAAATGTCTATAAAAATATACTTTTTATTCATTTTTATTTCACTTTTAGTTTTAGTTATTTCAGTGCTTTAACAAATTAGAAATGTTGCCTACCTGAAATAAAATAAATTTAACATTGAATTTTTATTAATAATTTTTTAATGAACAAAAAAAGTAAAATAAAATTTTAATAAAATAAAACAAAATAAAATAAAATGTTAAGATAAAAAACTTGAAAAATGTAGGATTTAGAACTTGAAATGAAAATTAGGAAAGTTGCCTAGGTAATTAATTAAAATAAGTAGTTAATATAAGTAGTTAAAGTTAGTCACTTTAATCACTGTTCACTTTAAAGTTGAAGTATTAAAATGTTTAAAAATGAAATAAATGAAAGCTGAATAAAAGTTTTTTTTTTTGTAGTTAAAGACAATAAACCTGTCTCCCACTTAGAAACGACTTTCCTTCACATTTGACATCATCAATCTGTCTTATTTATCAATCCCCTTCATACAGAGACACTTTTCACCAATCTAATCTATTTTTCATGAGAAATATCATGTTCTGCTCTACAACAACCAGTGATTTAGTGCTCAATATCTAAATACATCTATATGCATATGGCGAAATCACAACAAAAAGTAAGAGTTTACATCTAAGGGATCAAACACCTACAATGTCCATTAAAGGGATAAAAAAACACTGAATGCTATGACAAACTGAACACAAGAGATTGCATGAATGAATACATACATGAACAACAAGCAGAAGAGCCCTGCTGACATGAGGACGCTGTCCTGAAAAATACATAATCCCATCTAAACACACACACACACACACACACATGTGCAGATTAGAGTCAGGAGGAGGGATTGGACTTTAATTCATTACGCTTCCGTCCACTTTAAAAGACTAATCCACTCCAAGATTCAGACGCTACACACACACTACATCAAACACACAACATCACACACACTAGTGCTGTGTTCAAAATATCGATACGACGATGTATCGTCACAGAGATTTGACGATACGTGTATCGATACAGCTGGCCCTGTATTGATATTGTGGCACGTGTGCAGCAGTGGACCGCGCTTAATTTGTTTAAAATTTTACAACGTTTAAAATTGAGCAGAAAAGTGCGAGGTTTCTAAAAAATAATGAATAGAGCATATACGTATATAGGCTACAACAAGATTTAATCTGGCCGCAGAGGAACA